GCCTACAAGCTGCGGCGGCACCTGCACTCGCACGACAAGCTGCGGCCCTTCGCCTGCGCGGCGCCGGGCTGCGCCAAGCGCTTCACCACCGTCTACAACCTGCGGGCCCACAGCCGCGCCCACGAGCAGGAGGCGGCGCACAAGTGCGAGGCGTGCGGGCAGCGGTTCCCCAGCGCCGCCCGCCTCGCCGCCCACCGCCGCCGCAGCCACCTGGAGCCCGAGCGGCCCTACCGCTGCGACTTCCCCGGTAAGCCGCCGCCGACCCTCTGGGGCTTGGTTCCCTCCCCTTCCAAAAAACAGCTCGCCCGGGTAAGGATGGGATCCCTTCCCTGAGTCTGTGCAGCGGCTCAGCTCGCTTTTCCTCCCCGCTGCCCCTCCTTCCCCTTCGGATCTCCCCCAGAGTCTCGAGGAAGGGCCCCGCTCCACGCCACCTCAGTTACCAACAGGGAAAGTTTGGGAGCTGGAGGGTGCTGCTGGTCAGCTTACGTGTGGCTTTGTGCTCGTGTGGTGAAACGCCTTAAGCCACAGCACAAGTCTTCAGTGGTATGCCTTAAACCGGACTGCGCGTGTTTTGATTGCCCACCTTGGCTAAATAATTGTAATCTCTGGGAGTGATGTATTAGGATTGCACCATTTGGTTTTACTGTGTGCCAGCATTTAATATCCTGGAAAAAAGAGGATCACGAAGGTCCCCCACTAAGATTTGGGAAGGAGAAAAGAAAGCAGTTTTCCTGATTCAGTTTTGTATCAAGCTGATGCGCTGTTTCCCTTCTCTCCCCAGGCTGTGAAAGAACATTTATCACAGTGAGTGCGTTATTCTCCCATAATCGAGCCCACTTCAGAGAGCAAGAGCAGTTCTCCTGTTCGTTCCCTGGCTGTAACAAGCAGTATGACAAAGCCTGCCGACTGAAAATCCACATGAGGAGTCACACAGGTATTCATGAGGGTGACTTGTACCTGGGGAAGTGCACGGAAGATAATATGCAGAGAGTGGACTTCAGTTTGCTGGAAAAACTGAAAGTCATGAAGGCAGAAAAGGTGACATGAGTTATTTGGAGTCAGTGAAAACATTTGATTCTTGGCCTTCTGGGGGTAGGAGTCCATTGAATGAACTTGCCAAATGCGAAGTAGCTATGGACGTGCAAAGCTGTGGCTTTTGGCATGTGGACTCTGTTCAGAAAAATTATCCCAGCTCTATTCCCGAGTTCATAGACATTCAAAACATTGTGTAAATTCTAATCTTGGTTAAAACAAACAGTTAAAAAACTCTCAGAACTCTCATGTGAAATGTATGTACCAAGGTTTGGAACAGCAAGAAGATAAATTTCAACTCAAGCAAGCACTCCTGACTTGCAAGGACTGCTGCTAAACTGAAATCCAGCCTTTTAATGTTTTAAAGACAATTATGTGTACTCTCCACTGTCCTCTGTTTTCCTGGTTTCATGGCTTTACAGTGTGGGTTTTGCTTTTTTGTTGTTTTTTTTTTTTTTTTAAAGTGTCACTTTTTTTAAGTGAAAGTTCATAGATGTGATGGAAACTAACTTCACATACTTCACTGTATTGTAATCAACATATAATCACAGGTCATGAAAACAGAAAAAAAACATTTAAGCTGTGTTTCTTTTGAATAATGCTACTATTAGTTATTGAAGCACCTTCAAGATAGCTCAGATTAATATGAGATGGATTGGTAATTATCTATGCTCCCTGATGCATAGGGAAAGGTGTGATGGCCTTGAGTTAAAGACGACTCATTGTACGACGGGGAAGGGGCATCACAGTACTCTGCAGTGAATTGCAGGAGAGGGTGGTTGAGTCTTCTCGTTTTAAATTAATTCAATTCAAGCAGCTCTTGAGATTTTTCTAGTAGCAGTGTCTATTTCCGTATTAGATCATTAACATAACCTTTCTTTGCTGAAGGTGAAAGGCCTTTTATCTGCGACTTTGAAGGCTGTGGCTGGTCTTTCACCAGTATGTCCAAGCTGCTGAGACATAAAAGGTAGCCTTTTCTGATTATACTGTCCTAAGTCACTTGCTGTTTGTTTGTTTGTTTTTCTTCCAGTACTTAAGCAGCAGTGGGTTTAATCATGCCAATGGCAATTTCCTTCCCTTGTAGGAAACACGAAGATGACAGGAGATTTATGTGCCCAGTAGAAGGCTGTGGGAAGTCCTTCACAAGAGCAGAACACTTGAAAGGCCACAGTATAACTCACCTTGGTACAAAACCATTTGAGTGTCCAGTAGAAGGTATTGTTCAACTCTTGTATGTACTAACTGGTAATCGGTGTGTGTACTGCCTAAAGATGGTGTGCCTTTTCCCCAAACGCAAGCTTATTACAGGATCAGAGCAATTCAGGGTGAGTCTTATAACAGAGTTTGAAGAGGTAAAACTCAACAGAAGACGCGTAACTGAATGAGTGATCATTCTCAAATTTATGGATTGCAGAGAAAACGGTGGTTCATGCTCTAGCTTGATTTTGTTCTTTATGATGATCAGAACTGCTTTATTCTGGAAAATCCTGCCTCTGATACTCAGTTTCTGCAGTTCAGCTTTTTCACTTGATTCATCAGAAATAGTGAAAAGTGGTCCTGTCCCAACACCTTCAAGGCCACGTTTTGCTGTTGTGACATGTCATCTCGAGTGTTCAATGGTTGCACAGTGCTAGTCTCTGCTGCTGGGGTGGTGGATGGCCATGTGAATGGTATCTGTTTTGGTTGTACAGGAGCCTTGCTGACGCATTTCTTAGCATTACCTCCATCACTTCAGTAGGACTCCAGGAACAAAGATTTTGGGTCTGATCTGGGATATTCTGCTTCATAAAGTAAAGCAGCTCTACTTGGTGATTGTTTCTCCTTCTAATGGTTATGCTAGCAGTTGTCATGAAGAGTTTACATTTAAGATGCCATAGCGGGGAAAGGTTGTGCGTTACGCTGAATGACTTAAGGGTTTCTTGTTGTCAGAAACAGGTTGTTGAACTATCCTACCCACTGAGATGTCCTTGTTGTAAAACGAGGAAACGTGTATTTGGCTTTCTTCTGATTCCTGTGAATGTATGCATAGGTGCTGCAAAATAGCAAATAGAGTTCTGCAGAGCTACTCTGATTGGTTTTCTTAAGATACTAAGTATGAACATCAAATTGAAATTAGATGAAACTTTAAAGCCTTGTATATCTTCTTGTAGGCTGTTGTGCAAAATTTTCAGCACGAAGTAGTCTGTATATTCACTCCAAAAAACATCTTCAGGATGTAGACTCGTTAAAGACTCGTTGCCCTGTATCAAGCTGTAATAAATTGTTCACTTCCAAACACAGTATGAAGACACACATGGTCAAACAGCATAACTTCAGCCCAGGTAAAGTATTTATTTCAAACTATAGGAGGGTGCAATGGAAAAACTTAAGTGTTTTATTAAGGAAAATGTGTGTTTACTGATGTTGAAATCTGAGCCCCATTGATGTGAATGGCAGAATCTTCACTGAGACTGGAGTTGGTTTTCCCCCCACTAAAATTTTCCGTGGGACTTGTAACCGAGTGTCAGAAAGTGAGACTTGAGCTTGACCTGTGTGAAACTGTGAGAAATTGCAGCTCTTTTGAATGAGGTAGAGCTTGTCCTTCTCCATGCCATCTGTAAAATATGAGCAAGGACTAAAAGCACTTCTTTTCGCACTCATTTTTCCACTCCTCTATAACCTAACTTAGTCTGGACTGCCTTAGTGTTATCTTTTGGCAAGTGCTTTTGCAACTGAAATTTCTCAGTAAAGGAGTGAACTTATTTCGGTAAGCTGCTTTTCTTTAAGTCTGCTTTCAGGGAAGTTGGGAAGTGTTTTAGTAGGCTGAGAATCTAGAGTTTTAAGCATCCTCCTTTGATCATTCATATTTTTCCTCCCCGCTGTCTGATGAAAGGTCTGTCTTATAACCAAACCCTTCTCTTCCAGATCTCCTAACTCAGCTTGAAGCAAGCAGCTCCCTCACACCCAGCAGTGAACTCACTAGTCCGGGACAGAACGATCTCAGCAACATAGACCTTGTATCCCTGTTCTCCAATGTGTCTAGTAGCAATTCTGGAATTGCAACAGACATGGCGCTAGTGAACTCTGGAATTGTCACGATCGATGTTGCTTCGGTGGGCTCAACGCTCGGAGGAAACCTGCCTGTCAGTAACAATTCTTTAAGCCAGGCAGTTGATCCCTTGATACTGGTGGCTAGCAGCGATATGCCACAGAGCCTGGACAGTTCTCTCTTGCTGGGAACCAGTGCAACAGTTCTACAGCAAAGCACTTTAAATTTGGATGATGTACAGACTGTCAATGCAGAAGCCTTGGGTTCGCTAGCATCTCTGTCGGTGAGGAATTCCAGTCAAGATGTGCACGGTTTGACGTCCAGCAATAATTTAACAATTGACACAGCCACTTTGACTCCTTCTAGTAGCCTCAGTGGTACCAATGTGCCTGAGTTACTAACACCAACTAAAGTTGAACGGAATTTGCTTCCTAGCTCGGACGTTGTTGGTCAACAAGAGGGCAGCAAAGTAGTGACACAGTTTGTCTTCTCCAACCCTCCAGGGAGCTACAGTGCACAGAAAGAAATGGATCTTGGCACAGTGACTGGCAGCTCATTTTTGGTATGCAGTAACTATATTCGTTTTACCCCTAGATGACTGAGACACCCTGACTGTGGGGATATCCACTGCTACTTATAGGGAGACCTTTCTCAGATTTTGCGGATCATGCATTTTGGGTTTTTTTTGATGAAGGATGTAGAACATTATGTTGAATAGTGTGCTGGCAGAAGTAGATTCGGTGTGGTGATAAGTTCTCTTAAGAAACACTGGAATTCTGGTGGGGAGAGTTAAGGGAGAACCTTTCAAAATAAGAGATTAAAAAATAAGCGGTCATCTGTCTGAGGATGAAATGGAATTTACAAGAATACCCAAGAACACGTGGTGTCTTGTGCATTTTGTTCCAGGGAAAGATTTGGGCTGGGAGAGTAACTGAAACATTTTCATCTCGGTCCTCATTCCCGTTTTAAGTACTCTTCCCTTTCTGCTTTACTATGTTACTGCAGACTTAACTGTTTATTTACATTGCAAAGTCAACGTTTACCCTGTTAAAATCTGAACACTTAGAAATGTGGAGCCAACTTCCTTTTGTGTCGAACTCCAGATATTAAGTACATACAGGGAATTTATTGAAACGTTAATCAGAAGAGCACAGGAAATGAGAATTCAGTGTTTGCAGTGTAAAAGATAACTGCAACTGAGAACTCATTAGTCTGTGTTCATTGTCTTGGTTTGTTCTTGCATTCAAAAAACTTTGCATCTCTTGGGGTTTTGTTTGTTTGTTTGTTTGTTTGTTTTACTAGGAGAGCAGTGGGTCTGCGAGAACAGACTACAGAGCCATTCAGCTAGCCAAGAAAAGAAAGCAAAAAGGGAATGGGAGCAGCACAGGTGAGAAGCTGTTAATTTTGTTAAATTTACTAAATACAATTATTTAGGATTTTTGGCAGTGAAATGGGAGCAGGTATCTCAGTACATTCTTAAACATCCCATCCGTTTTATTGCTAGTTAACATAATTATGCATGTGGTGTACCATCTGTTACTTAGGATAACCACATTCTGTGGAATATCAGATTCACAGTAAGTTTACAAAGAAATCTGCACCATATGTTTCGCGATTGTTAACAAGACACTATCTCTCCATCTCTCCCTCTGCTTTTTATTTTCTTATTAAAACAAAAAAAAAAGGTCACTTTGCTTTCTGTTGTTTATGCTTTTGGTCTTACCTAGTGGGTTCTCTTTTACCCGGTACAGACAATGAAAACATCAACTGGATTTGTTTTGCTTCTGTGTGTCACTTAGTAACAGTGTGTATGCAGCGTTAAGGAATCTATTTCTTAGTTATCTAGAAATACTCAAACCTCTCAGATTTTAGCCATGTAGAGAGTTCTTGTGCAGGGTGAGGTTTAGGTCATGATTTCAAATGTGTCCTCTTTTTCTTAAACTGTAGTTTGACTCAGACATGTCTGATGTGAATTATACACCGTTACTTTGCCAGATCAAACGTGGTCCATGGCTCACTAGACTTGCATGAGCTCAGGCGTTTGAGTTGTGTCTACCCTTGGTGCTGGGGTGGAACATCATTCGTGTGTGTGTGTGTGTATATATATATATACAGTTTAGTTCTTCCTTGCTGTCTCTTACTACCTTCCACCTCTGAAAATCAAGGTGATAATTTTTAAGGTGAGTTAAGAGACTAGTTCTGAATTGAGCACTGTCATGTTTCTGTATTTGTAAAAGGTATACCTGCATAAATTCTGTCTGGTTCAGTGAATCATCACACGGAAGGATAACTGCTTTGTGAAGCTAGTTCTAAGTGTGCTTGTATCAAACATGTGCATGTATCATCAAACATGTCTTTTGGACATTAGTTTAAAAAAAAATCGCGCTTCATCTGCATGTCTCCTAAAGTGGCCTCAGAAAATTCCTATTTCTGTTCCTACTCAAGACTCCCATAGTCCACTTCTCACCAGCTGTTGCCTTAATGCTACCATGTGCTTCTCGAAGTGGTCTAAAGAGTCTTGTATTTCTAATTGGTTTAACTAGGGTGAATAAACACTGTAGAGCAAAGTTCAGTGTTTAAAAAGAAGTTATCCAAGCCTTTTATTTACTCTAGATTTAAAAAACAAAACAAAAAACCCTGAAACAGCTTACAGGATTGTATTCCTACATTTATTTTGATTAGGTTTTTGGTTTTCAGCTTGCGATACAAGCAGCTGGTTCGTCTTGTTTTAAACTGAAAAATGCTTAAAGTTGTGATAGTTGTACTTCTGTAGCCTGTTCTACCTAACAGTCCTTGAAATCTTTCTGGAAATAGATGAGCTTCACTATGCTCTTTTTACAGTTTGGAAAAATGATATACATGACTTCTCAGGAAATGAGTTGCAAAATTAAAAATAGAAAATGCAATTCTACTTCCTAATTCCATTCTGTAACTCCACAAATATGCTGATATTTCTGTGATACCAGAGGGGTGAGCCCTAAGCTTAGCAGTTTGTGATGTGGTTTTAATGGCATTCATGTAAAAAGATGCTCAGTCAGCAGTTGGAGTTCATCAGCTGATTGCTGTCTGGCCTTTTAGCAGTTATCAGATGGTGCTTAATTATATTGCACTGTTCCAGGCATTTGCTGTGTAGTGTAAATAACTGCATAAAATTGAAAAATACTGGCAGGAAACTCTGGCAAATTGCTTCTGACCATCTAAATTTTAAAATTGCTCTCTTTTAGGGGCATCTGGCTCTGGTCAGAGGAAAAGCAAGGGTGGTAAAGTAAGCCCTACCAACTTTTCATCATCCACTCCTGGCAGTCGACTGGGTGGCAACATAGTTCTGCCAAACGGAGGGCTGACAATAAGGGACCCTGCCACTGGAGCCCAGTATGTGCAAATTCAGCTTCTTCAGGTAAGAGCTGAGGAGGAAAAACATGCCCATCTTCTCTGTTACCCAAACTGACACATTTATGGAAGAATCTGACTCTCTCTGAACTCAGGTACCCCTAGATGGGATCTTGAGATCTGCAGTATGTACCATGTCCGTTAGGGCACTTGCCCACAAGAAGCACTTTCCTGGGAAGTTTATATGAAATTGGCTTTAGAGAGGTCTGGAAATGCCTGAAAACAGAGCTGGTTCAATCATGCAACTGCTGGGGGCCCAAACAGATGCATTGTGGAAATGTGCAAGATGTTTTTATTTGGTTTAGTACTAATCTTCAGTCCAGCCTGGAACACAGGGGCACTGTAACTGCGCAGAACATCCTGTTCAGCTTCTTAGGCTGGATACACTTGGCGTAGGAAACACTGTGGTGGAACTAAGAGCTTTAGCAAACTTTTGTTTTGCATGTGAGAGTTGTGATCCTTCAACGGCTTAGGATTTTCCCAGTTTGGACAGGCAGTTATGAGAGCAGCAAAACAGGTGCTACATTCCTGTCCCAAAATATGGGGTAATTGTTTTTCCATAAGGAAAGGATTACAAGCATGTGTTACCTTAGAGGATGCACGGGAGTATGACTTTTTCCTCCAGTCTTTGTTGACACCCCCCCAAATTCTTACATTACTCCGCCTCTCTCTCATTTACAAGGTAAATGAGACTGACATGAAAAGATTCCTGCAAAATGAAGTTTCAGCCTAAACTGTTATTTTTCTAAACTGTTGAAATGAAGGTTAAGATTTTTTTCTAAAAATACCTTAGTAGTCTATGTGGGCTGATCAGTGGAGCACGGCAGGTAATATGGTTTTGGGCAGGTGTATATCTGTATAATATCCAGAGTGACAGTAAGTTCATTCCACTTTATTCCTACCAACACATGGTATGGAGGAAGCTATGGGCAGAGTTCTTCCTCTGTCTATTTTTCTGGTGGGTGTAAATGTTTGTAACTTTTATGTTAAGTATCAGTTTCACACAACATGATGAAACGTGTTGCATATTTCTGAGTGTTATGTTTGTTGGAAGATGAGCTGTTCCTTCTGTTTCAGTTTTCCAAGTTGATTATGATAGGATAATAGGTTATACACTGAGCTAGGTTCAGATTTAAGTGGTAGTTAGCTTTCCACATACCTTTGTGGATCTAGGCCTTACTAGTACAGTGAAGTAGCTTTATCAGATTTTTTTTTTAAGATTGTGAGGCTGAGTGAAATTTGCCGTATTGTGCTGAGATGCTTGGGGGTCTTGTAACCACATCATGTTTCTGCATTCACAGGATGATTCCCCAGGAGAGGGAGATTTGCCCTTTCAGCTGAGCTCTCAGTCCTCCTCGTCACATTCTCAGCTTACAGTGGATTTACCTGTTCACATACTTCAGGTACAGCATGTCAGAGCTGTTGGGTTTTATTGCCTAGCTTGAAAGGGAGGAGAGTTTACTGTGAACGTTGGTGTTCTGCCTAATGAAAATACCTTGTTTTCCACTAGGAGTTTAATTTCACTTACAAGAAGCAGTAAGCAGAGAGCTGCACTGCAAGATTTATCTTGTGTATGTTACCAACCTTTGACATACCATAGGTGGTTGTTTTTCTTCCTCTGTTACTGAGTAATGAATAACTAAATGTTACTCATTACTGAAGGGCTCCATTCTTGTTTTCGTGATCCCATACTGCAGATACTAAGTGGGTCAAGAAAGAGGATCAGAATTGATATGTAACAGGTTACAGGAAGGGTGGGAAGAGGAAAATAAAATCTTGAGCCTAGCTTTCAGAGCAGCGTCTATATGGGAATGGCAGTTAGATTAAAAAGCCTGCTTGCTTCTACAGTCTTTCATTTCACTACTTGCCCTTGTTAACTACTGAGTGTCAGTGTTGTTTGAACGCAGAAAGCTTCATATAGCTTCTTGCATAAACGTTTTGTTATCTGCTGTTCTGGTAAACTGCATATTAATGAGTAGGAGCAGCTGAGAACCACGCAGCAATGAATGATTAGCGTGTACATAAACCACATTTTCTACTTGATCATGTGGGGCTTTGGTTTTGATACTCTGCAATGCAGTTATTCTTACCAAGTGTGCTTCTCCTGGATAGAAAATAAAGCTTTTGTATTTGAGAGGAGCATCTTACTGTGATAAACCTAGAAATAAAAGAAGAGTACTAGGATCGTTGGCCACAGTAGAGAGTTAATAGAGGAAAAGCAAATAGTGATTTTAAATTTATCGCTGTTAGTAATGCTCATCTGAAGTGTTCCAAACGAAAACTGGAGCAGCACTGTTTGAGTGGGTCCCCAAAGTAGGAAAGCTTTAGGTTTCTTCTAAACCATTCAAAGCATTTCTCTGGTCTTGGATAAACATCAAGGTAATCTTACTGATATGCATTAAAAGCATCTAGGGGTGAAAGCACTGAACTCTCATGCTGTCTGTTTGCTTTAACAGGAACCACACAATTCCACTGAAGATGATGCAGGTTCTGATAACTCTCAGTTCACTGGAAGCACAATAAACTTACAGGATCTGGAATGACCATTATTAAGAACAGTTACTTGAAAACAAATTGGGCAATCATGTCTTGACAAAGTGAGATAACTGTGTGGGTCTTTTTCCAAGGAAAACATGAAAACTAGGAGTACTTGGATTATGGTTGCACTCTTCGCAATTTGCTAAGGACAGTTGCAGCTGAAGGATTTTCTTAAAAAATGTAAATCCCACTTGATGTGCCTGTGTAAGATACCCTGTCTGCCTGGTGGTTGGAGAGACTGAGGCAGACTGCTGTACAGTGTTGTTTCAGGGAGAAGTACTGTATTATAAACTTCAAACTGAGGTAATATTTACTGTTTTCACAGGAAAGCAAGTATTCTACAGCTAACAAGTACAAATTTATAATCCTGCCTACAACAGTTAAAACTTTCCTTGCGTTGGTCTCCTGCTGGAGCCAGTGGCATCGAGGAATTAAGAGCTAAAATTTGCAAGTGTTTTCCACACACAAAAAAATAATTGTTTTGGCCCCTGTGTTTTGGCAGAAAACTGGAATGAAGTGTCACATGTAACAAAATTAATGTCCTATGCCATGAAAATGCTCCAAAATCTTCATTTTAGAAAGCTAGATTCTAACTGTTAACTTAGCTGTGAATCAGTTTGTAGCTCATGTTGAGTTTCTCCCTTTCCTTGCTCCTGTGTCCCAAATACTTTGCTGAATTCTTCCAGCAAAACTTGAAAAAGAAAACTGCAATAGAACTGTACTCACTGTAAGTAATTAGCTAAGAGTCCAACAGCATCTGAGAGAGGTTCGTTCTATCTTTATGTTCCCTTTTTTGGGAGGAATGTTGACTGTCACGTAAATTTAAGCACCTTGATTTTTATCTCACCTATGAACTGCTGCCAAGTTACCTGTAAACTGGCCACTACCTTTTTATTTTGGGTTTTGTTTTTTCTTTTTTTTTTTTTTTTTCAATTGAACACTGTTTAACACTTCTCTTTATTGATACGCCAGTGTGTCACATGCACGTGGAGCTTCCGGCTGGTTTACAGAATATGCAGAGTATTTTATGAGGGGAAAAGAATTGTTACCTGGGAAGATTTGCCCCTTGCCCCAACTGCAGTTTCTCTTGGGGGTGGGGGGAGAGGTTGTATGTACTGTACTTATCTGGATTGCAGACACCTAAATAAGTATAGGGTTGTATAGGGAAAAACCCCCTTCTGGTTACATTTTAAGGTAGTAATTTAAATGTTTCTTATGGTGATGTACTTAACACTTCTTCTTTATTGATACGCCAGTGTGTCACATGCACGTGGAGCTTCCGGCTGGTTTACAGAATATGCAGTTGTCAGAGTATTTTATGAGGGGAAAAGAATTGTTACCTGGGAAGATTTGCCCCACTGAAAAACTGCAGTTTCTCTTGGGGGTGGGGGGAGAGGTTGTATGTACTGTACTTATCTGGATTGCAGACACCTAAATAAGTATAGGGTTGTATAGGGAAAAACCCCCTTCTGGTTACATTTTAAGGTAGTAATTTAAATGTTTCTTATGGTGATGTACTGAATGCCTATAAAATTACGTATAGGAGTTTGTTAAAAGGGTGTATGTACTGTTTTTTATTCTCAATGAGGTGTGTGTGTGTATGCACGTATGTGGGGTTTTTTGTTTGTTTTTTTTTTTACAAAGTAAGATATGTCATGCAGGAGAACGTTGTGATCTTTCTAATCTTGCACATATTTATTTATTTTACAGTTATACTGATGTTGAATTCACATGAGGTCATTCAGAAATGCTTTTACTTCCTGTGCCTTTTGAACTATGTATGTGTCCAGATAAATGCTTTTTTCGGTTGAAGACTTGGAGAGGGAAAAAAAGCATACAGGTTACATTCAACTTCAGATCCTGATTTGTAGGCAGTATTATATCCTCTGGTTGAACCAGTTTTATTTTTCTATCTTTAGCTTAACTGAGCATTGAGGTCTCTCTGTTCCTCTCATTCTGAGTTTACAGCTTATGTCCAGGGAATCTCTTAAACCCTCTCAGGTTGGGTTTCCAAACCGAACTAATTGGTAGATGAGATCATCTACCTGGTGGCTGTGACTGCAGCACGGAGTCCACTCCTGAGAGGTAGAAAAGATGGGGAGGAATCATGCTGAAGGGACTACTGGGTCTTGCTCTGGTGGTCACCATGCTCTCCCTGGAAGCTGAGACGCCTCGAGCTCCCAATGCCTGCATTATTCTGTTCTCAAGGACCATACCAGTTCTTAATCTATTAAAATGGCCAAGGAACACTCCATCTTTTTATGGGACTTGCAACCAAATCTTTCTACTTCTGAAAATGTACCTCACTCAGCTTTGTAAGTGAATGTAAAGTGCTAACCTCTTGGGGCCGAAAATTGGATCACTTGGCTTGAACTCCATTGCTGGCAATGGATACCTGAAGAACTGCTGGTGCAAAAGGGTTAATAAAGCTTTTTTTTTATGGTCAGTTTGTCACTGGGTATTGTTCTTTGTATGGATGCATCTGACACAAAGTTAATTGCTAGCAGCTTGATTTCTGCAGAGCTTGTGTTTTTCCTTCGCTTGTGTCTTCTCCACAGTAGTGGGGTAGAGTCTGTAATGAAACCCCTCCTTTGGATTAAAGCGTAGCCTGCATTTTTTATAGTCCTTCAACAGATTTGCGATTATAATAGATGTCTGGCAGGTGCCTGGCTTAGTCATGCCTCAACAAAGATTGTTACCCAGGACTGCGATAGAGCTCACTAGTCAGGTTTGTAGGGATAGTGCTGTTTGTGTTCAAAAACTGAATGAGAAAAGCATTGTTGCTAGCAGGAGCCTGAGAAGCAAAATGAGAGAATTTTAATTTATTTTTTTAGGCAAAAGATCGATGGGAGGAAAAGGGGTTGCCTGACACAGCAACTTTCCCTGGGATCTTAGGGTAGGAGAAGATCTTAGGGTAGGAGAAGAAGGGAATTTCATGGGACTCTGAAGTTCATCAACTGAGCAAAGACTAACAGAACGTAGATCTATGAAAAACTTTTTCTAGAGCAGCATCAGCCCTACATGCTGTGGTTAAGGCTGTGCTGTCAAGTGAAATAATAGAATTGTTCTTCCTTCTCCTTATCCATTTGTTCTTGGCTGTGCTTTTTCTTCTCCTTCCTGGCAGGGGGGTTGGAACGAAACACCAGCCTCCTGCCGCTCTGCAGAGGAAGAAGAGGCACGTGCATCAGTGCCGTGTTGGAGTAGCATGTCTGAACCATGCAGCTAAAGCTGCTTCATGCTGCCAGGCTCTCCTGCTGTGAGGGTCCGTGGCCCCTTGCTGTCTGTTTTTTAGGCAGGTTTCAGTGTGTCTATAAAGTGTGTTTTTTCTATTAGAAAATGAGTGTGAAGCACCTGAAGGCTGTGCACATGCTCGTGCTTCAGCTTGCTACAACGTACTATTGCACCTGCAACTGGTTTCTGGCTAAAGCCTTATTTGTACTATCTCAAGAGGAAGGCAAGTTGGAAGTCCGAAGAAATATCTGAGGGAGCCTGCAGAACCCTCTTATTTTATCTTGGGTAAAGGGGCAGGGACTCATGGTGCCTGTTCTCAATCGCCCATGCTGTCACCGGCTTGGTGTGTGACTGAGAACTGGGATGTCCTCGCTGTTGTGTTGGCCTGTGAAACGTGCAGCGGGAGCCATGGCCTGAAGCTCTGTGCTGTGCCTCCTGAGGGGCCAAAGCTCAGTTTGGCGTAATGTGGAACATGCCAAAAAAGGTATGGTTTGATGGCATGGCTGAGCTGATCTAGGGCCTTGCTCCCGTTATTGGGAGTGTCTTGCTGCTGCCTGGTTCCTCATTTGCTGATTTGCATGCTTTTTTTAATACTGCCAAGTTAACAAGTTGAAATGAGCTTACTGAGAAAATTGGCAAGTAATGGAGGGGGCCATGTGGTCAAGACAAGGATAGGAGAAGGACGAGGGAAGGACACTGAGCTAGAATAACTTGCAGTATAACTGACTTCCCAGCAGTTGCTTAAGTTACATCAGTCCTGTAAATTGGGCTACACCTGAGTATGGGTGCCATCCCCACCCAGCTACGAAGGCCCCTAGTAACACTCTTCCCTTGAACGCTTGATGCTCAAGTACCCCCAGCTTCTCTGAAGTGGGCTGTTGAGGCGAGGTGTTCCTATGGATTACTGCGCTTACCTCTTTTTTTATAGTTGCCTGGGATCTTTCCAGGGCCCTTTGCAATCTTTCCTCCTGCTCCTGCTTCTGTTGTCTCAGCTTTTCCTCTCTGAGCCTTTTGAAGGGAGCAAATAAAGGATGGGTTAAATGTGGCGTGCAGCTACACCGAATATGCTTTTGGCACACAGCATCAACATCTAACATTACATCTTACATCTAACAGTGTAAGACCACCGGAGCACAGGGGTTTGGTATAGCCAATGCTGGAGTCTGTTGCTGTGAAGGTGGTAAGAGGGGAACACTTGCTGCAGTTGATCCTACTCTCCGGAGTGAGGGGTGGAAAAAGCATGTCAAGCTTTGCAAATGGAGATGTCAGACGGTTGTTCTCTCTTACAGACATGCTCTGTACCACCTTCAGCAGGTGCTTTACGCTCTACAGTTGACCAGGATGCTCACCAGCTTTGTGGCTGAATGATGCTTATTGTGTCTTAAGTTCTCACCAGTGCAACCAAGTCTGTGACGTACAGATGTAAGAGGGTTTTACATCCATGGAGCTACACTTTGCCTAAATGGGCACAGTGGAGGCTGATACTGTTAACTGGCTCCAATTCCCTATGGAAATGAAGTGCTAGAACAGAAATGGCTCAAGCTATGGAACACTGCAGTGGAAAGGAAATGAATTCTTGACCTTGTGATCTTCAGGAAAACTTTTAAATGCTCTTTGAAGCTTTGTTTGTTTGTTTGTTTGGGTTTGCTTTTTATTTGCGGGGGTCAGATTTCTTCCTGAATTCTTCTCCTCCATCCCCAGTGTGTCTTCTTTCTTTGGTAAGTTAAGAGTGCAAAACCATTCACAGAACATCGGGAAGAAGCATCATACCCTTCTACTACAAAGGTGAGGAAAGATGCAGAGAAAGAGAGTAATGTCACTGTTCTGGCTTTAAACCCTCGCACTATTTTTTTTTTCCTCTGCTGGATCTGATTCACCTGAGGATGGCCAGATCCAATCAGCTGTCCCGTTGCATCTTTGCTGTTTCTGAGGGGAAATTTCATGTGTGTAACTGAGCCAAAAGGAATGCGTCTCATCTCAGAAACTAAATTTATTGTGTTAATTGGCTACTATTTAATTTAATAATACAAGTTCAACTTGAGAGTTTTGTAGAAGAAGCATTTGAAAGCTGGCGTTGCTGACAAATGCCCTTATGTACCTATTGAAGCCTGACAAAATATCAAGGCATGTCAGACTTTTAGTGTGTTAAATAACTACAGAGGAGTAATTTTCTATTTAATCAGTTTAAATATTGTTACTGCAAATTGCCTTCTTAAAATGATGATTCTCTTCCAGATTTTGCCCTTTTCTAATGTAGCTTCCAGGTCTTTTCTAATGTAGCTGTGGGCTGCTGCTCGCTGATCGGGAGATGCAAGTACTATGAATGTGAAACCCTTACAGAAGTAAAATGGGATGGATTGGTCACATGGGCTTTCAGATTGCTGTTACAGTTTCCTGGGTTGATCTGACAAATTTGGCTCTTTCAGTGGCTTTGCTTTTGGCTGTCAACATTTAAAAATAGAGGCCCCATTTCCTGAAGAGGGTCTTGTCTTACCTTATCCTCCGTTCCTTTTTTTTGGCTTTCTGAGCCTGTTCTATCTTTGCTGGTGGGATTTTCTCCAGGTTGTCCAGTAAATCATTGAGCTGCTTTTCTATCACCATTAGCATCTGCACTGTCTGTAGGTTTGCCTCATTTTCTCCAGTGCAGTGGCAATAGATTTCCTGCACCTTCTTGTTCAGGCTTGTGAGCATTTTGTCCTAGAGATGAGAGGAGATACGGTGAGAAGCATGGCTGGGTTCTGCCCAGCAGAACCACAACATCC